AATAGATATCCCCTTTATTTAATGTGAAAAGATATCCTCATAAATGGTATAAGGTCGGTAAATTGGGCGTGTACAATTTAAAATCTATTTGAATTCAGCATGACTGAACCAACGCACTACAAGTCTGCCACGACGACACTGCATCTTCCTTTAAAGCGGGAATCGAGTCGCAAGCGACGATAACAACACACGCTAGAAACGCAAAGGCTCATGGGTAGACGCTTGTTTGTAAACAGTGACACGCTATGGCTGTCCGACGCATGTGGGGCCATGCTCGATGGCGTTCCAAACTACGCACAATATCTTGAGCGTAGCGGAAGTAAATAGATGGACCATTTTGATTGGTTAATATAAACTTGTATGATTCGTTTCTTATACCAACCATGCAAAACGAGCAGCTTGATTTTTCCATTCATCCAACCTCAATTTTAACACATATATTTTTTTTGTACCAGACAAAAAAATCGGCATTCATGGTTTCAATTTAACCCCTGGTTTTTATTTATCGGAAATTGCGCGTCATGGCGGTGCATACTGGGCATTTTACCACTAAAACCATATTCGGGGGGTGGGGCAAGAGGGATACCTGGTACAGGTTACAGGAAATAAAAAAAGGCATTTCACGTTTTTACAATAAATAAACTGAAAGTTTCATTGACAGTAAAAAAATTATGGTTTTTACACTTCACAGATAAAGCAAATTCCTAATTACATTTTACATTAGTATAATACATGTGATAATTTGTGTTTAAAAACTAAAATTTGAAAATTGAGTACGAATTACGAATTTAATGTGGAAAACGCTGACAAAAAAAAATTTTTTAGACAAATTACGGACGGAAAAAAACAGCTAATTACATTTTACACCTTGCCCATGCCTACAAATTTATGTGTTTTTTTTTATTTAGGCCCGGACTTTTATCATCCCTTGTTTCGCGAACCCGCCGAATGAACAGGAGCCGAAAATGAAATAAAAATAAAATTTTATTTCAGCGTAATTTCCCGCGCCCGCCGACTTGTAAGTGCAAAAAATTGCTAAAAAAAATATTTTTATCTCATTTTTTTCCGCCCGCCGCATAACAAATCCAAGTTGCATTTTTGTGGGAGTATCGCGCAGATGAGAAACAAGGTTATACATGGAATAAAATTGTATTTCATCTCTTCTCTCCGATCAATGATCTCACTTACAATTTTTTAAGAATCACACAAATCTAATGAAAAAAAGAATTAATTTTATTTTTTTCCGCCCTCCTCAAAAAAATTGCCTTATGAAAACTCGAGAAACAAGGAATAAAAAAAGTCTTGTTACGATAATAAAAACAATTGATCACAGCTCGCGAAAATATCCCATGTCGGCCCCCAAATTCCATTTGGAGGACTGGTGACAGGACTGTAACACTATTTCTATATTGCATAATTTCAAAACACTGTTTTTCAATAATCAAACGTATTTCTGCTCTTTTCAGTTGCTCAGATGAATGTGCCTTTGAACTGCCTGCATTCAGTGGTGAGACTTGTCTCCAGTGGTAACTATGACAACCACATCAGTTTCAAGTATGTCCGTTATGAAGGCAAAGAAGATGGAGAATGTTTCTCCTAGATACAGCTTGTCTTGTAAGTTTAATTTGCATATTTTTTATGCAAATCAAACAAAATTAATGTTATTATTTTGTTGTATCTTTACACGTATGGTAGTATATCATGTTACAAATCTGAAAAGAAAGGTTCGGAGAAAATCTATCAACAAAATACTTCTTTTGTCTGTTTTAGGGGCATTTTACCATTGATTATTATGGCACGCGCGGGAACTGGGTCCCAAGGGACGATAACAACACACAAGTTCACTTCTTTTGTTTAGTGTGGAGTGGTGAGGTCTGAAATTTATGATAAATTCTTCCTTCAAACATAGAATGCATCGTTTGCTGGAGCTACTGTACGGGCTACCGCGTGCAAGAATTTTCCATGTTATTCTATGCTCAATATTTTTTTTCTTTTAGTGACCAAACTTAGTTCTGTCGCATTTCTAGAGCCCCGATTACGAAATGAGGCCATGTGGTTTCTGTACCTTGTTTTGAATTCATTTCCAGTGAGACCGACGTACGTTTCGCTAGTTTGTTTGTCTAATCGCGTAACTTCCGCTTGGTATACTGTAAAACATATCTTTTTTCGCGAGCATATCTTTTTCGTGAATTTAGCGAGAGAACTGATTCGCTAATTCAAGATGTCGCTAATGACTTTATATCAATTAAAAATGGCCGCCAAACAAAGAAATCAACAATGACAAGAGAGATTCGCTAAATTAACATTTCGCTATTTTCGTCATTTTACCACAACTCGCTAAAATTGCCGCTTTTTCAACATGTTTTACAGTATGACGCGAGACTGCAGACATTTCCCGTCATATATATATAAATATTGTCGTATAAAAATTGGCAATTACAAGCGAGGTAAAAATAATATGCATAAAATTAAAATTTAAGGTAAAATGTTATAGACAAAAATGGTATCAGTTTTGCGATAGTTTTTGATATCAAAAAGTACGTTCACTATATATCAATCGGTAATTTTCTCAGGCAATGGTAAAACGCCCTAAAACAAACAAGAACGTTTTTTTCTCAGCTCAAGCGTTTTCTGCAAGCTT